GTTTAAAGGTGGGGGGGGGGGGACCACAATGTACTCTCACAAAACTTGTAGCCTGATGGGGTCAGATCATGTGACATGGGGGTTCTCTCTGCCCAATTCCTGATTTACTGGCCTGGCCACAGGGCCTGCTCAGCTGTGCGCACAATTTTTTTGTTTTTCACAGGCCCCAGCCAGCCTGTATTCGGTATGTAGAGCCGGATGGCCTTAATCTCACAGAAACCCGCCTGTCTCTCTCGTCCCGATTGCTAGGATTAAAGGCGTGTGCCACCACACCCAGCAACAGTATTTTTTTTCAGACGTTTTGCGTGTGGCGCTCTCAAGCGGGCTCCACCACCGAACTAAGTACACGTCCAGCCCTTCAGTCTTCTCGAGGTCCTCCACTACATAGAAACTACTGCCATTCTACATTCTAAACGGGGGAGAGCCAGGACCCCGGGGCCGGCCGCAGCGTCCAGCTGGCTTTTAGCGCTCAAGGCCGCGCAAGCGCAGCACTCCACCCCGCCCTCTCCCGCGATTGCAGATTGGCGGGCTGGGTCACGTGGCAGAGCCTCGCCTCTTCCTCGAGGCTGGGGGCCAGTCCGCTAGCTTGTTTCCGGTTCGGTAGGTCCAGGATGTCGGAGCCGGGCGCCTCTCCCGAGGACCCCTGGGTCAAGGCAAGCCCCGCGGACGCGCACGCTGGCGAGGGGAGGGCGGGTCGTGCTCGTGCACGTAGGGGGTCCGGAAGACTAGGGGCTCCCCAGCTGTCCCCAGAGTCTCCCCTGCTGTCCGGGTCCCGGGACTGCAGAGAAGACAGCTCTCACCCGGCGTGCGCGAAGGTGGGGAGACCAACGAGGCGTGTGTATGCCGGGCGTGCGGGATGGCCTGGGAGGCGGGTGGAGAAGGCCGGGACCGCGCTGAGGGGAGGCGACCCCGGCCGGGCCGAGCTTCGGGTAAAACCGTCCGGCTGCCCCGCGCCCCCGCAGTTGGTGCGTGCCTTTTCCTAGGGGAGGAGGTCTAACCGGCTTCCCCTTGCTTGGTGCTGCAGGTGGAGTACGCCTACAGTGACAACAGCCTGGACCCTGGTGAGTGCCGCCCCGCCGTCTTCGCACCTGGAGTAACCCATTTCAGCTCTGTAGATCCTTGTGGTCTCGCCAGCCACACCTGAGCACAGTCCTCTGTCACTGGGCCAAGGTCCTGGCTTGAGAAGTGAGGGAGGAGCTGGAGGACAGGCAGGAAGCAACCAAGGGTCACACCTGGTTCCCCTGCTGTGGAACGGGAGGATGATGGAAACAGTGGCAGCTGCTCATTCTCACCACATCCAGATGCCCCTCTGTGAGCCAGAGACTCCCATCCTGAGGAGCAGTATAGACTGGACAGGAGCACTGGCAGGAAATAGGTGGCCTAGTGGTGGCTGGCTTTGGTGTGGAAGGGGAGAGGCCAGCACTTGAGGAAATTGTTGTGCCCATAGACGTCTGAGGGCCTGGCAACGTTCCCCACCCCTTAGTGATTGAGGCCTCTTTTTTGCAGGGCTTTTTGTAGAAAGCACCCCCAAGGGGAGCGTAGTATCCAGAGCTAATAGCATCGGTTCCACCAGTGCCTCTTCCGTCCCCAACACAGGTAGGCAGCAACATTCTCCCCCAACACACACACCTGGGGGAACTTAGCTATGACATCATCTTAGCATCTTTCCTAGACAGGGACACTCCACTGTCCACATGGGGGTGGCTCTGGAGCAAAGTGCCAAACACAAACAACTTATTGTCTCACCTCATCCTAGGTATTAGGTTCTTTCAGCTAGGGAAAAGTTTGCTAGCTAAGCCCCCCTAGGTGTCGAGGTTGACTTCTCCCTGCTCCAACTGAGTGTAGATGATGAGGACAGCGACTACCACCAAGAGTCCTACAAGGAGTCCTATAAAGACCGGCGGCGGCGAGCACACACTCAGGCTGAGCAGAAGAGGAGGGATGCCATCAAGGTGACTTGGGGGGCTGCATTTCAGGTAGCAAAGGAGGACCCTGCATGTTTCATATTCACCCTGCCCTGCCTTTTCAGTCCCAGTCTTGTGGGGAGCTAGGCTAGTCTTGTACCTGAACTCCCTCCTTCCAGCCCTCTGAGCTTTGAGTTTCGAGCATGGAACCCATTTCCCCTGCTGTCTCCACAGAGAGGCTACGATGACCTTCAGACCATTGTCCCAACCTGCCAGCAGCAGGACTTCTCCATTGGCTCCCAGAAGCTCAGCAAAGCCATTGTTCTACAGAAGAGTATGACCAGGGCAAGGGGCAAGGGAGTGACGGGAAGCAGCAGGGGTTATGCAGAGGCCAGTACCTGGTGACCCAGGTGGGGTGGCTCTAATAGGAAAGTTGGGTTATGGGGGAAGGAGAAACAAAATGAGCCTTGTCTCCCTGGTTCAGACTTCCTCTGTACCCATCCCCTCTCTCTGCCCCTACCCCAGCCATCGACTACATCCAGTTTTTACACAAGGAGAAGAAAAAGCAGGAGGAGGAAGTATCTACGCTCCGCAAGGATGTCACAGCTCTAAAGATAATGAAAGTGTAAGAAGGGTGCTGAGCTTCGGGAGTGGAGCTTCTAGGGAAGTCTGCAAAGGTCACTCCAGGCACTCCTTTTCTCTTGTTCGGAGGCTGTATCATAATGCCTGTACTTAATACTGACTCCATGTGATAGCCCCTGTGAGGCAAGACTTTTTTCCTAACAGCTCATTACGCACAAGCACAACAGACATTAAGAAACAAATGCCCATCAGGCTAATGAAGGGAAGGTTCTAGCCACTGTTTCTGACTCAGTGTCTGGTAGAAACATCCCGAGGTCTCTTAGAACCTTGGGGTGGGGGGTTTGCACAGGATTATCCCACAGCACCTCAACCGTGATTGTATGCTTTCAGAAACTATGAGCAAATTGTGAAGGCACATCAGGACAACCCTCACGAGGGAGAGGACCAGGTCTCTGACCAGGTCAAGTTCAACGTGTTTCAAGGCATCATGGACTCCCTGTTTCAGTCCTTCAATGCATCCATCTCTGTGGCCAGCTTCCAGGAGCTGTCAGCCTGTGTCTTCAGCTGGATTGAGGAGCACTGTGAGCCACAGGTATGGGATAGCAAGGGTCACTGGCTCTGGGCTTCTCTCCCTACCCTCAAACGAAGTGGTCCAAGCCATTATTCAGAAAAGCAGAGTAGCTGTTCTAGGTTTCATGAGGGTGTCTACAGCCTGCAGTATTGTGTTTCTCTCCTTACTGCCTTGCAGATTCAGCTAAGTCTCTCATCTGGCAATAATGTTCAGAGCCCCCAGTGCCAGGTCCAGCTCTGACCTACATCATTGGTGACTCACTAGCTATTCCTTGGCTGTCCTGTGTGGAAGCCAGCAGCAGTTACTTGGGAGTATTGAGAAACATGCAGACTGTAAGACCCCCCCCCTTCCCCCCACGCACTACATAGACCCATGGCTTTGTATTGTTATACTCTCTTCTGCTTTTGAGGCCTGGTTGCTTTTTCTTAGGCTTGAACTTGTGTCTCAGATTACCCCTTTGTTTCCCAACATTTTCACTGTGAAATACTTTAAGCATTACTGCAACAGTGAGGGACTGTTAGAACATGCATACACGCCACCTAATGATACCAATAATATTTTATTGTGTTTCTTTTATCACATATTCATGTTTCTCCATCTTGTTTCAAGGCTATTTCAAAGTAAAAGCAAACTATAGACATCACTCTATCTCTGGGGCTTTTTTCCTTTCCTTTTTCAAAAAATCATTTTGGAGCCAGGCATGGGTGGTCCACGCCATTAATCCCAGCATTTGGGAGGCAGAATAGGACAGACAGCCTGGTCTACATAGTGAGTTCCAGATAAGCTAGAGCTACAAGGGGAGCCTATCTCAAAAAATAAAGATTTCAAGAGGGTACCACCATGCCTGGCTGTTTTGTTCTGTTCTTTTTCTTGAAGTGCTGAAGATTGAACCAGGGTCTTTTTTGAAAAAGCTTTTATTTGTGTTTCTGTGTGGGGGCCAGTGGAGGCCAGAGAGAAGTGTCAAGATCCTCTAGAGCTGGAGTCACAAGCAGTTATGACCTGCATAATGTGGGTGCTAGGAATTGAGCTTGGGGCCTCTATAAGAGTATTATATGCTCTTAGCCACTGAACCCTATCTCTTAGCCTTTTTATTTATTGAGACAGAGTCTCACTGTAGCCTGCCTGCCTAGCTCTGAACTTTGGCCTAGAATTCACAGCAGTCCACCTACCTCTGCATCCTAAGTGCTGGATAGGATTAAAGGCAAAGTAACCTAGGGGCTTGTGTGTGACAGGCAAGCACTCCACCACTGAGCTACAGTCCAGCCTCTAGGGGACCGTTTTTAAATGCCCTCTTCTAAAGAGCATGTCTGGTCTACGCAGGCATCTAAAGGCCTTGCTATCACCTGCACATTTTCTTTCCCAGACTCTACGAGAAATTGTGATTGGTGTCCTGCATCAGCTGAAAAATCAGCTCTACTGATGGATCCTGCAGGGCAGGTAACAAGAGGCTTCTGAGTCTGTTTGGCCATGGAACTGCTGGGCCTATGAGATTGGACTGCGATACCTCACACCGGTCAGCTGGTTTCTACTTGGTGTTTGGTTTTCCCAGCCTCACTTGAGTGGGGTTGAGTGTTTTGTGGAAGTTTCTGATTAATTTATTATACTGACGACAATGTTGACCTACTCAATCTTCCCCCTCCCAGCAGAAGTCCTCAGGACAGGAGTCTGTTCTGGGTACCTCAAAGAACCTTGGCCTCTCAGCCTTTTCCCTAAGCCTCAGATTTGTGCTCATGATCTATATATATTTGCAAACTGTTTGCCTCTGTTTTGGTCTCTTGGGCAACATTTGGCTCAAGTTAGGTATTTTGGCAGTAATTGGGTAGATGAAAAGAAAATAGTCACATAGCCATGAAGGGTGAAAGGCCACTTTGTACCTACACTAGGGCTGTGCAATCAGTACTAAGTGAGGCCAGGGTTTTCTGGCCAGATCAGGGTAGGGCTGTAGGTTCCTGCTTTCCCCTCATGTTCTGCCACCACCACCCTCCCCTGCTGTGGGTGCCAGGGGAAGGAAGCAAAGCTTCAAGCTACTCTTGTCCTCTACCCAAAGGCAAAGGCAGGTCTCCAGCACTACATATTGAATTTTTTTATTTTTTCTAAATACCAATGTGCTGTTTTGCTACAGTTACAATTTTGAAAAATCAACTGACCCTTAAATTACCCCAGCCTTTCTGTCTAGCATCTCGGACCATCTGGATCATCTCCCAGTGTTACCTACATTTCTCCCAGGACTTGGGGTAAAGCAAAGGGGTTATAGAAGATACTGAAAGGTCTCCAGGGGATAGGCCTGGCGATGCCTTGGGGTTCTCAAATGCTGGTGTCTGTTAGCGTCTCTGTACTTGGGTCTCCCATGCTCCCTCCTCAGGTTTGGTATCTAGGAGGTTTGACTATCCAGAGGAAATTTAAGTATTTTTGTATCAAAGTATATTACAATAAATATTGCCAAATACTTTCCTTTAGGGTTGTTCTAAGTCCGCATGTTTAAGCTGAGGCCATTGCAATATGGACAACAAAACAGACATGTCTGGCCAGCAGCCCTGAATCCCTTTACCCAGTACCCTGCTCTGTACTTCTCTCCCCTCTGCTCTGCTCAAAGGTCAAGAACATCAAGAAGCCAACCTAGACCAAGTGGCCAGTTCAGGACATCTCTGGTCCTAGGCCCCACCATAGCCCCTCAGGGGTCTGGGAGTGTAACACTGTGATCTTCATCTGTCTCTATCCCAACTTCTTCCTGTGGGCCAGGAAGAGAAATGAAGGAATCATCTCTGGGCAAAGACCCCAGGGAGCAAGGGAAAGAGTTACTTACAAAGAACTGCTTCTTGCTCTTTGGGTATCCTTCAAGGATTGCATCACACAGCTCTATGGTCTGACAAGAAACAAAGCCACCCCTTTTCAGATGGGCAGTAGCAGTACTGGGCATTGCCTGCTCAGTTATTTTGGGCAGAGACTTGTCCTTGGTTGTCATTTCCCAAGACACTTCCAGGCTCCCTTCGAGGCCCACTCACTCACCAATCTCTTCCGCTTCCTCCACTCCTTGCAGTATTTCTGCCTCTCTCTGTACACCTGTACAGGGAGAAAAGGTGATCCTCTAAGCTCCTCAGGTCCACTGCAGACCTGCCCAGACAGCCTCCAGCCTCGCAGCCTACCTCCTCCTTCTCTTCAGGAGTGACATGGTTGGTAGCTGCTTTGATGTTCTTTAGTCTCTCTGTGTAACGAGTACATTCCTTCTTTAACTCCTGGATCTCTTTCTGCATTTCAGGAGTGGTCAGTGCACTTGTTAACTCCTTCAGCTCTGAAACCATATACCCCCAGGGTCACTTGCTACCCCTGGGGAGGGGATTCTGGCTTTCCCAGCAGGTGGTCCCAGAGGTGGGAGACCAACTTCCATCTTGTTCTGAGATCTAGCCAGAATAGGACCCCATATTCTGGAAATGCTCAAGGGAAAAAAAGGCTTACTGAATTAGTTTGTTTTCCTATTTTTCTTTCATTTCCTTATTGATAATCAATAATGGGTATGAAGTTGAGCAGACTGGTGACAGGTTAAAGAAGCAGGAATAAAAGGAATGGTGTGCTGATTATCAGACCTGCAAATGCAGGTCTTGCCCAGTGGTAGTTCAGCATTTCTTTCAATGTGATACCTCAGGCACCTGGCAAAGAGGTCTCAGCTACAATAAGACACTGCAGTCAAGGAGCCCTTCATTTAGTGAGTCCTAGACCAAACCCGAGTCCAAGGGCACCTCGAAGGTGGGAAGGGCCCCCAGTCTTACCAGCCTCCATGTGACGGCAGCTCTGCTGTAAGCTCTGGACCTTAGCATTGAGTGCTACAATTTTGTCATCAAGGCTGTGGAGGTCAGCATCACTCACTGTATCAAACTGATCCTGCCAGAGAAGAAACACAAGTACTTAATGTGAGGCATAAAGATGGGAACATACAGCTGGGGGGTGACAACATTCAAATACCTGGTACATCTCCAAACACTATAGATCCTCAAAATGCCTAGTCCCCATTCCCCATAAAAAGGAATAAAAATTGAAATGTGGGGGGCTGGAGAGATGGCTCAGAGGTTAAGAGCACTGGCTGCTCTTGCAGAGGACCTGGGTTTGATTACTAGCACCCACATGGCAGCTAACAACCATCCTAACTTCAGTTCCAGAAGATCCAACACCCACTTCTGACTTCCATGGGCATTGCATGACATGGGTACACTTACATACATATAGACTACACACTCATACACACAAAACAAATTTTTTTAAGTTGAAATGTAATACATGCTCTCATGAATGTCAAGATGGGCAAAAGTAGTAACTGGAACAGAACCATATTTCTGTAGTGATAAAACCACTCATGGACTGAAGAAATAAAGATTCTCCTGCTGGGTGAGGTGTGGCATGCCTTTAATTCTAGCACTTGGGAGGCAGGCGGATCTCTGTGAGTTCAAAGCCAGCCCGGTCCACATAGTGAGTTCAGGCCAGCTGGGGCTACAGGGAGACACTGTCTCAAAAAGACCCAAAAGAAAAAAAAAAAGCATTGTCCTGAGGTGAAGAAACTTAGGTCCTGTGTTTCATAACAGGAAGACTACCAGGTGAAAAGGCATGGATCTATGTAAGGAACAGGCACCTCCCTTTAGAGCCGTGGCTAGAAAGAAACCATTGGGCATCACTGAAAAGTTGTAAGCTGATGCTGGGGAGGTTAAAATGGGAATGCCAGCCTGGGCAGTTCGGACTGTATGCTTAGCAAGGTGAATCTGAAGAAGAGGAGCCACCAAAGAGCCAAATCCTGCCATACCCATTCATTTACATGATCTATGGCTACTTTTGTTGTACAATGGCAGAGCTGAACCATATGTCTCAAAAAGTCTAAAAATACAGTGAGACCTGTGACAAAAAGTGCCAACTCTTCCTTTAGGATATTTTTCAATAGGTAGCAAAATAAAATCTGTGATGAAAAAAAAAATTAGTCTTGACATTGCAGTTAAATATTGAATATTTTGTTAGATTCTGGGGGTGGTTTCTGAGTAAACAAAAATGAGAAATGGAGGTCTACCCTAGAGGAACTTCAGTTTAGTGAGGGAGACAAGGAGAAAAGAAAAACATAACTCAAGGTAAGAGCCAGAAGAAGTGACAGTACAAAGCATTCAGGAAGGGTTTCTGGAGAAGAGTGAAATCCTGAAGGAGTTAAGAGCAAGTTGAATACTGCTCCAAACACCAAAAATGCCAAAAGTATTTGGAAGCTTTTATCTAATCCTTAAAAGATTTTAGGGTTATCTCTTCAGAGTGGGGAATGTTAGCCAGAAGCCCCATAGAAAATAAATAAAGAGTACATGAAGTTATCAGAAAAAAGTGATGGGGAGATATGGGAGGAGTTGGAGGGGAGGGAGTGGGCATGGATTTGATCAAAACACCTTATATGCATGTATGAAATTCTCAATAAATTATTAAAAAAAAAATAAGTTGGGAAGAGGCAAAAGGACAGGCAAAACAGAGGAAACACATCTGAGTCATCCAGCGTGCAGAGAAGCAAGTCCAGCAAGTGAGGCCTGCAGGCTGGCAGGGCACATTAACAGGAGGCATTTTATCTGGTGTCCCATGCAGCACTGGGAGCCTTCAAAAACTTTAATAAAGTAGGGAAAGAACATGACCAGACTCACATGTATTTTTATGTATGTGGATGCATATGTGCCACAGTGCTAGAGGTCACAGAACAATTTGGAGAAGTCAGTTTTCTCCTTCCACCATGTGGGTCCCAGGTATTGAACTCAAGATGTCGGACTTGGCAGCAGGTGCCTTTACCTGTGAGCCCTCTCACCAGCCCCATTTGCAGTCACATAGATCATTCTGGTTGCAGTGTTCAAGATGCAGTTAGGACACTGCAATGGGACACCTGGGCCTATTGATAGAGAGGAGTGACAACATATAGGTTGGACTTAATGAAGAACTGAGCCAGCCACAGCAGCACTTGTAATCCTAGCACTCAGGAGGCTGGCCTAGGAGACTCATATCCAACCCTCTGCCCCAGCCCACCCCTCCCGGTCCCTCTCCCCTGCTTTGGGGGAAGAATGATACCATTACAATGCCAAGAGAGGGTCCAGTTTTGGGGGAGGAGATGAAGCATTCTACTTTAGCCACACTGATACTGATATTTAATGTAGGAAGGAAGACCCTTCCAAGCAGAAATCTGACTCGGTAGTAACAAGTCAGGGTCTTCTGTCTAATACTTCGAAGGGACACTGATGAAGTGTGATAAAGGGAAGTGCACACCTTGATTTAAGGATGTCTGAAGCCCTTTTCAAGGCAAGTTAGGTTAATTTCTGGGGCGCCTCAACACTCCCAACGAGTTAATGCTGGGAGTTGATTCACTCAATGACAGGCTCTCGGGTTCCTCACCTGATCCACAAAGTATATCTTCTGCTTGCCGTAAGTCTTCTCTTTGATCTTGCCTTGCTGGGCCAGCTGCTCCAGCGCCTTCACCACCACCTGGCAGAGGGGCGAGTGAGGCCATCAGGAGAGTGGGCCTGGGAAGGGGAGGTGCTGCAGATGGCGGGGAAAGCGCCTAGGATCAGGGAGGGGGGACCCAAGCCTGACGCGGGGGGGCGGTCCGCGGCGAGGAAATCCCCAGCGAGGATGCTCTCACCGCCTTGCCCAACCCGTGCTCCCGCTGCAGGTTCCCGAATACGTCCTGGGCGCTGTACGGCCGATTCTGCTCCTGCAGGTATCTCAGGAGGATCCCGGAGGCTGTGAGAGAGCCGGCAAGACACGCGGTCAGCGCCGGGCCCCTCGCCCGCTTCCCGCCCGGGCCCCGCGGACACCACGTTACCTCCCGCCGCGGCCTCGGCCCGGCTTTTACTCATGGCCTTTCCCGCCACCAAACTCAGACCGCAGGACCAGCAGGTTGCTCCGGGCGACGGCTCCTTCCGACGAGGGCGGGGAACGCTTCCAACGCCTTTAACGGCGATTGGTTGGGGGGAAGAAGTCTTCCGGAAGCGCGCCGCGGACGTGCGCAGACACCGTAGTTCCGCCCCCCGCCCCCGCAGGCCCCTCCTGGGTTCTGAGCGGAAGCTGGATTGTGTAGTGCTTGTGTCTAAGGCCGGGAGCCCGGGTTCAGCCGCCACTGCGCATTGGTGACCTGAGCTAGGCCCGGAGGTGCTGGCAGGGGAAGAAACGTCAGCGATGGACTAGCGCAAGGTCTCAAGGGTGCTACCCACAAGGGGGTGCTCCGGTGCCCCTTCCCGGCTGGAGGCATCGTTTGTAAAGTAGGACCACCTACGGGTATTCGGGGGAGGGAGGCTGTGAAAACAAGCACGTCCAACTCCGGACACCTGTTTCCGAGCTCGCACACGAGAGGGCACTCGACACCTGCTGTAGCTTAAATGCCCAGGAAAGGCAGGGTTGGGAGGGGGCTACTCTAGCCACAACGCTTGCAGAAGTCTCCAGTTAGCCCAGGCAGCCACACCTGACAGGTGCTTTCCATTCCTGACCACAGTGGCCAGTGGCATTGCCTGAAATAAATATTTCTAGTTTCTGAGGTCTGTTGAAGGCCAAAGAGCAGCTGTTCTTGCAGCTCGTAGTCCAGTGTTAGGACAGAGCGCTACTTTTCCAAAGCCTTCCGCTACTCAAAATTTAATGAGTCTTTATTCAGAACACATGCTTATCTCCTCATGTTTAAGGGGCAATATGTTTTTTGAGACAGGGTCTCCCTGTAGCCCCAACTGGCCTGAAACTTGCTATGTAGTCTAGGCTGGTCTGGATCGCAGAGGTCCTCCACCTGTCTCTGCTGGGATTAAAAGGCGTGCACCACTACTCTGATTTAAGGTAAGGGACAATGTTAAGAATTAGAAATGGAACCGGGCTTGGTGGCGCACGTCTTTAATCCCAGCAGTCGGGAGGCAGAGGTAGGCGGATCTCTGTGAATTCAAGGCCAGCCAGGTCTACAAAGTGAGTTGCTGGACAGCTGGGGCTACAGGAAGACCCTGTCTCAAAAAGACAAAAAAAAAAAAAAAGATGGGGGTTGGAGAGATGGTTCTGTGGTTATTATGCGTATACTGCTCTGCAGAGGACGCAAGTTTGGTTCCCAGCACCAACATAGGACGGGATCTAACGCCTCTTCTGGCCTCCTCATACACGTGGCATACTCCTTTAAGAGGACAGGAAGTGGCCTGTTAAGGTGAAGATTGTTCGGCCACCACAGGGGAAAAATAGGACCAGGCAAGTGTGCCCCTGACACCTGGGCTTCCTCTTCTGAGGCTGTCACCACCTCAAATTAGCAATTACTCAGATTAGCAAAAGACCTATCGAGAGTATGCGATTCAACAGCAGCCTCTTAAAAGATTGTTGTCATACAAGATTTATTCTCAAACACCCACCCCAATTCACAGTGGAGGATTCAGGACATTCAGAGCAGGATCCCTCAGATACAAGACAGACCTTCTAGATTTTTCTTCCTTCCCTCCTTGCCAAATCCCAATGCATGAAGCTACACACACTCATGTGAACACGCAAACTCCCACTCCTTTCCCACGCCTCCCTTTCCCCCCCCCCCACATCAGAGCTCACTTGTAAGACATCTGGCTCTGAGGAAAGAAATGTTCAAAGTCTATTTGAGACCCTAAAGTGAGGAAGATGCATTATTCCTAACCTTCACACTGATTATGGAACAAGCACCTAGCCATTCTCCTGTTAGTATTTTCACTCCCAGCCTCTACCTTGTCCGTCAACCAAGAGCAAATATATATTAGCACGCCCCAACCTGCAGCACATGAAAATGGGGTCTGTCAATCGTCCCTTACCCAATTATGGGGATGCTGGGGGAGTGGTCCCTGAGGATCAGCAAAAGGGTTAATGCAGGAGGGAAAGAGGACAGAAGAATTTGGCTTGAGCTCTGATTGGAGGCAGAGAGAGGCAGTAAGCTGGCATAGGTTTAGAACCAGTGATCATTTAGGGGCTTTTTTTTTTTCTCTACATGATTTAACTAGGGGCTAGAGAATACATACCCCTCCAGAAGGGTCTCTACTAATTACCAACACATTCTTGATAACTTCCTTAAAAGAGTTAGGAAGCAATATGGTATGGACAGCTGGTGCAAGAAGAGCTAGTGGCTCCTGGGATGTGTGCCCTGGAGCCATTTGTAAAGTGCTACTTTGTCATCCCCCGTGGAGTTATTGCTTCTCCAGAGGAGGAACAGGGAAAGGAATGGGAACATAAAAATGGGTATGAAAGCTGGGCGTGGTGGCACACGCCTTTAATCCCAACACTCGGGAGGCGGAGGCAGAGGCAGGCGGATCTCTGTGAGTTCAAGGCCAGCCTGGTCTACATAGTGAGTTCCATGACAGCTGGGGCTACAGGGAGACCCTGTCTCAAAAAGACCAAAAAAAAAAAAAAAAGGATATGATATTGCTTTGTTCACTGCTCAGGCTGATGGTTAAATGGAGCCAGGGTTAACAGCACCAAAAACAACCACATAGCTCCAGAAGACCCGAGACCTCATGGTAGAGTCACTCTACCAGCCAGCTGACCCCTATAGCCCAAGATGGAGAAGAGGCTCACCCCCATATCGTGTTCACATTTCTTAAATTTCATAAGCATTCTGGAACATTGGGGGTGGGGGGGTCAGTCATCAAGAAATGAAGATGGGTGAGGGGACAGGGAATAGATCTGTTCTGCAGAACCACAGGACAAGCTTGCATTAAGAAAATAAATCGAATCATGGTTTAAGACAAAAATGACAATTCTGGCTGCTGCCTGATTGGGGCTCCAGTGAGGTGAGAGGAGGCAGAGATGGGCTCTTCAATCAGTGAGGGCCCCTGAGCACCCTGACCTAAAAACAAACAGCAGTGCCTCGTTGGAGGGGAATCAACATCCCTGACTACTTTGCTGCCTGTAGTACCATCGTGATGGAGAGAAGCCTCCCTTTGGGGAGCACATTCTCACTCCAGTGACTAAGCACAGAATTGGGGATCTAGCTGGCAGCAGGCAATGAGAATCTTCTCAACAGCCTCTGTGCATCAGGTAGGCCACCCAGCATACAGATAAATTCAGGGGACGAGATCTGGGTTCTTCCCTTGCCCTGTCACTGTAAGTGGGGTGGGGAGAATAAAAACCCTACACCACAGTGACCCCCAAAAAGAAGTCTCTCCTCAGTGGTTCCTGGAACTGGCAGGGTCCAGCTGATTCAGCTCTGATTGGTCTAGAAGTTCAAAGTCATCTCCCTCAGCATCAGTGTCCAGGTCTGAACTAGGGGCCTGGAGGAAGCCTCTTGCTCTCCGAGGAGGTGGGCCAGAAGGGCCTGTCTGGGAGGTCCCTGACAAGGCCAGCTGGATCATACCCTGAGAGACCAGGCTGGCAAGGTTGCTGGTAAGGTTGGATCCTCTGGGAAGGGAACCAAGCAGGAGCTCTGGCAGTGCAGCCTCATCCCGGCTGGCAGGTAGGACCTGAGGATCCCTGGCCCCTGGTTGGGGACGGTACATCAAGCTAGGCATTCCAATGCTGGTATCATCTTCATCATCCAGGCCAGCAGAATCCACATTAATGGAAGGGAAGTCTGGAAGGTCTCTGGCAAATGATTCCTCGGGATCGCTGTGACCATCTAGGTCTGAGAGAACACAAGCATGTAAGACATGGTAGCTCCCTGGCCTTCCTATGTCTCAGACACACAAAAAGTCAACCCCTATATAACCAGATTTTTCCCACACTGGATTTCTGAGGATGAAACAAAACCCATGGGACTGGTTAGCTTTCTGCCTTCCCTCAGATGGCTATGATCTCTAATGGACAGAGGACTGCCCCATCTTTCTGTGCTATGCCCATGAGCTAGAGGATGAGGCAAGTAAGGGACTGAGGATGCCAAGAAAAGCAGCAGTACAGCTGTGCCACACCACACTCTGGGGTGGCTCTGCTGCTTGATCCACAGCTCAGGAGACGAGCAAACAATAGTAAGCCCTGTGATCAAGGAAGCTAAGATGCAACAATCACTGTCAGCTCAGGCAAAAGGTTCTCCTCACCTTCAGAGCCTTCTGTTAGAGGTGTCTGGCCCCTTGAAAGGTTGAATGTGCCATTGTCTGTACAGGAGACCTCAGCATCTGAGTGCTCCGAGTCTGTGATAGTCAATTCTCTGGCAACAGTAGAATCATCCAGCTTAGAAAAAAGAAAAGACCACGTTTGAGGAGATGATGCCATCAGCAATCAGCTTTACTAATTAGCAAGACTTAGAAGCTACCCAAGCTTAACAGTGTAGCCAAGTATAGATGGGATTTACCCACAATCTTGACTCCTTGTAGGCTGCTCCCCTAAAAGACTCTCATTCATCAACCTCTTAAGCATGGCAGTCTTGGGAATCAATTAGCTACTTACTGTTAAGCAAGTGACTAACCCAGAGATTACGTTTTACAAGTGACCAGGAAAATACACATACTAGTCAGACCCCAAGGTGGACTGGGCTCCTGAAAAGATGATTATGCCAGCTCCAGAAGTTCTTCCATGATGGTAGGGTAAAGGAAACCTGAGTGGTGTGGTCACCAGGCTCAAACTGAGACCCAATTTAACACCAGGTTCTTATACTCTTAGCACTGTTGGGAATAGGAAATCTAGGGTCTTTGAATGCCCAAGATGAGCTTGAAGCCTGGTTAAATGGGAGCTGGATATAAGGGAAGAAACTTGGGAGGCAGAGGCAGGCGGATAAATGGGGGTCCTATTTTGAAAACTAAATACCAGCGGGGCATGGTGGTGCTTGCCTTTAGTCTCAGCACTTGGAAGCAGAGGCAGGCAGAGCTCTGAGTTCAAGGCCAGCCTGGTCTACATAACGAAATCCAGGCCAGCTGGGGCTACAGTGAGACTCTGTCTCAAAAACAAAAAAAATCAAAAAAGAAAAATAAAAAACAAAGAGAAGAAAAGAGAACAAGGCCAGTGCAGCAACTCCACTCCAGATACCTGAGGACAGAAGGCAGCAAGCTCCTCTTCACTGTCACTGTGGCTGTCCATGGCATGTTCTGGATGGAGAGCTCTGCGGCGCACTATGTGGAAAGAGCAGAAGGCCTTGATCCCTTCCCTCAAAAGGAAATCTCCCTTTGGACTCCAAAATCATACATGAGCATGTAAGAGAAAGAGGCCTTCTCAATATGGCTGTAAATCTACATAGCAATACCTGAGGGTGAGGCTGCTGAGCTTAATTGGTAACACGTGAGAGGACATTCCTCCTCCCATCCCCCACCCATTTCTATTCTGGTCAGATGCTGAACCAACAGCATCAGGATCTGCTAGGGGCAGATGCAAAATCAAGGTGGTTAAGTGGACAGCCATAGGGAAAAGGAGAGCCTCACCTTGGTTAAATCAGGTATGCAAGAACTGATTACTTTCCAGCTAGTTAGCCCAGGGCTTAATGAAACACCCAACCGGGGCTGGAGAGTTGGCTCAGCAGTTAAGAGCACTGGCTGCTCTTGCAGAGGACCGGGTTTAGTTCCCAGCCCCCACGTGGCATCCAACACCCTCTTCTAACCGCCACAGGCATTGTACACACAGGTGCGCTCACATACATGCAGGCAAAACACGCATATACATAAAATTTGCACACTACAGAATCTGAGGTTATATTTTTGGCAACTTATAGAAAGAAAATAATCGAGGGTTTTAAGTCTTATAATTAAAAAACAAACACCCAAACTGTTAAGATTGAAGGTTATGTTTGTATCCCCTCTGTGTGAGGTGGAGCTCAGGCTAGTAGTACACTCCCAGCCAATAAGGTGGCTGCTTTTAATCTCCTTTAGAAGGCAGTTTTCATTAGTGGAAAGAGGCTGGCTTAGAAGTTGAAAAAATCTGCACTGACATTTACTGTAAGCCTCAATTTCCTCAACTGGTAAAAGAAGAAAAAAAAAAATCACATCTCAAGACTGTTGTAAAGATTAAAATGATGTATAGGACAGTCAGTACAGTGATTGGACACTTGGGAAGTGCTTCATAAATAGCACACAATACTAGGGACACCTTCAATGTCATCTTTTTATTCAACTTATGAGCTTTTCTCAGATTAATTTAAAATGGGAGAGTACAGGATTCCAAGCCTACCTAGGTTTCTCTGGAGCAGAGTATTGCTTTTATTTATCATCTTACACCCCTATCTACCACCCCTTACTTCTCCTACCTCCACCTTAAAATTTATTTATTTATTGGGGAGGATGTCATGCACGTGTGTGGCAGTCAGAGCACAACTTGTAAGGAGTTCTCTTCCACCATGTAAGTTCCAGGGATTAAACTCAGGTTGTCAGGCTTGGTGTCAAACACCTTTATCCACTGAGCCCTCTAGCAGGCCTTCTTGAGGGTCCTACTTCTACCCAGTATGTCAGAACTCCCTGTTTCTCCTTTCCCAAACTGCCCAAGTGGAAGAAAGCCATCACATGACACTTACATTGTCTTTCTCTCTGCTTGGACATCATGTAGCCACGGACACTGAAGTCCAGCCGCTGCAGAGCTGGCTTCAGCCGCACATAGGCTCGATCCCACAGTCGGTGGTATACAGCAAGAGGCCATATCATGAAAGTGATAACTGTGAGAAATGGAAATAGTGGAAAATGGAGAAGGGACTGCACAAAGCAATCCTCGCTGTCCCTCTGCTCTTGTGTCTGGTGTTCACGTTGTGTCAAACAACTGTGCTTATTTCTGCTGGTTGCCTCACTAGTGTCCTCTACTGTACAGGGTTGCTGAGGGCAGGACTTCTGTAGCCATCCACAGGCCCCAGGTCAGGACTGCACACAGTGTAATATGCTACTGACAGCCCAGGCAGTGTGAGCACTCGCATACAGGTGTCACTGAGACACAGAACACAATGGCAACCACCAGTCATGTGCAATTCTGACATAAACATACAGATAGGAAATAGTACACCAGCCTCAAACAGAGCATGTGCCAATAGGAAATAACTAAATTTATAAAACTGTACTCCGGAGGAAGGAAAAGTCCTCCAGAGTAAAGAACCTCCAGAGTAAAAAGAAGCCCCTAGGAATTGTTCTAAAAATTCCCTCCTTAGAGACTGTCCTTTAGAGTAGATGCTTAACAATTTCCCAAACTTCTAAGACATGGACTTGGGATATATTTTAGTGATAGAGCACTTGTCTAGCATGCATGGCACCCTGGATTGGATCCCCAGTACGCACCCCCTCAAAAGGAAATAAAGTTTATATGTCTTTATACAGGGAGTACCAGCTCCACATGAAATGACAATCTCATAATAGTAAACATGTCTTGAAAATATGAAAAAGTCCTTTCTTGGAGAACCAAGATATAAAGGTCCTCTCCCTAGACCCAAAGCTGGCTATGACTGGAAAAGCTATGAGCAACGTACAGCTTAGGGGAAGTGCATTCAGACTTACACATCAAGTAGGATAGCAGGAGCCCAGGGATGTAGCGGCCCAAGACAGCCAAAAATGTCAGTATGCCACAGCTCAGCAAGCAGAACTGGAGAACCAAGAAGTAGTACTGAGTTTCTGCCACATGGCAAAGGACTCGGGTGAGGGGAGGTGTGGTGGAGGGGTGTGAGTAAAGATTCTTTATGATCAGAGTCAAGCACAAACATGTCAGAATGACAGCTATTAGCTACTCCTGCATCCAATGGTGAGTCTCTGTGGGAGAACAGGGATGCCCCCTTCTAGTCTATCTTCTTTTTTTCATGGCTAACCCCATACAGCTGAACCTTTCATGCCAAGAAATTGGTTTGAGTAGGTTTTAGCCAAAAATTATCTCTAAAAACAAGTACTGGTGGTGGGTTTTTAAGTCAAAGTAGGAAAGCAAAAAAACAAAAATATAAAACCTCTCACATGTTTCAAATGACACAGAATGCACACAAGCAAGCTTGCTTTCCCATTTTGGGGCAAGAAAATGGCCTGCTCTATGGGGTTGGGGATGTACTTCAGTGGTAAAGAGCTTGCCCTGGCTTCAATCCCCAGCATCAGCCAAGAAAAGAAAAAGAATATGGCTACTCCAAATGACAAGCACACAGAGTCAAGCTCTTGCCTTAGTCTTAATGGCCAGTCAGAAGTCCCTTTCTCTACTCCTTTTGTCTCTATAAACCTCGTGTCTTTTCTTTCTCAAATGAGGATACATATTAGTGTTTCAACTTGGCATGAACTAAACTGAGAGGCCAGAGATGAAAGTGAAAAAGGGAAGTCTTACCTTGCCTGGGTTTTGCTTTTTGAAAAGCAAAAGATTCCTTATGAAAATGGTCCCACTAACCCAGATTTCAGCTACATGGTGGCAGAGCTCGGGCACGCTGAGCAACCGAGGGTGCACAAAGCCCCAGCTATGGGAGAGAGAAGGGGGAACTGTGAAAGAAGGGTGTCAGGGTCCCCCCATCTTGCTGTGTAAGCAGCCAATGCTTCCGGGTTTAAACAGGCTTGGGAGTGGCTAATCTTGGGTGCTTTGGAGGTAAAACATGACTTTCTTCTTGGCTTACCAGGTTGAAACTTGAATTCGGGGACTAGGAGGGCAAACTTGTTCTGACAACTCCACCCTATGAGCAAGCAGCACTATCCACATGTAAAAACCTGCCACCAGCTCTTTGTGCTTAAAAACATCTTCACCACACTTAGCCCATTGCAACTCACTATGATTGCAATCCAGGGACACAAGTAAAAGCACAGTCTGACTGACACCACTGCAGCTGAGTGGGAGGCAACGGGGAGGAAATAATGCAAAACCAAAATAAATCACAGCAGAGAAAGTTCCTTGTATCAAACACATGGGATGGATGAATTAAGAAATAAAAGCAAGGGCTGTAAGACACAAAAGGTATTTTTGGCACTGGCTTGGGAATGATGCCAGGAACCAATGTTTTCTGACCAGGTACTGAAAAATAGCCACAGGTAACAGAAAACACTAAATGACGCAGTATAAAAGTTGGGAGACAAATGAAGTTAGTTGCCTTTAAGTTTTCACACTGGGGCTGAATAATGCAGCTATTTCCCTGGCATGTCAGGTTATAAGGCACTATGATGGCTCATCTCCAGAAAGTTTTTTTTTTTTGTCTTTTTTGAGACAGGGTCTCCCAGTAGCCCCAGCTGGCCTGGAACTCACTATGTAGACCAGGCTGGCCTCGAAATCACAGAGATCCGCCTGCCTCTGCCTCCCGAGTGCTGGGATTAAAGGCGTGCGCCACCATGCCCAGCTCTCCAGAAAGTTCTATAAGGATCAGAAGACACTGAGTATCTCAACATATTACTGTACGAACTTTTAATTTCCTATAGTGATTATCTGGAACAGACCAGAGTTTTAGCATATAGTGTGTCCAGAATATGGAGTTAACAACATATAGCAAGAATAATTCAGCAGAATCAATTAAAGCAACTAAAAGGGATGTAATTAGTGTTCCATACCTCTCATTCTCTAATGCGTCAGGTCTTGGCACTGCAATATTAAAACAAATACCAGTATTAGTTGATAGAGAAAATTAAACATGAAAATATTAGGCTGTTGGTCTGACAGTTCAAGTTTTAGTAGGGTTGGGAAAAAAAAAATGGTACTAGCCAATAATAAAAGAGACATCATGTTATAGTGCCAGAGTGAGGGAGCTGCATCAAGGGAATAAAGGCTTACGCTCGCTCGTTTCCTGGAAGAGGGAGAAAGTACAAACGGACCACGAGAGCCACTATTCAACTACTTCAGCTTAAGGTCATGGTGTACAAGGAAATGGTCCATCCCAACCCCTGAGTATCCATGAACTGCTCATACACATCAGGCTTCTGAGGCATGCTGTAACTACTCCAATCTTAGAGATTTGCCTCTTTAAGTCTCTGTAAAATAAGATAGCAATGCACTTACAAGTTATATAGTCTGTGGGGGACCTAGTAATGTGGGCCTTTAATCCCAGCACTCAGGAGGCAGAGACAGGAGGATCTTTGTGAGTTCAAGGCTAGCCTGGTCTACATAGTATCTTGCCAATACTTCAACTTTAACATGTCCAGAACTCATACCAATTTTCCCCATTCATACTCCCACCTGAACCAATCTTTGCCTCTATCTGATATATACCTTTCTCCCAGTCTCTTACCTTCACTCTAAACCCATCTACTATTTATTAGTATTACAGTATCTTCTTCATGGCTCTCTAAGTCATCCATCATTTAGAATCATGGACATCTCTCTGACTTCTCACAAACACTGCTAGAGTTTTCTAACCAGCCTTCTACCTTCCCCTTTTGCTCCTTTCATGCTATCCTATAAAATGCTACCAAATAGCCAGGCATGGTGGTGCACGCCTGTAGTCCCAGCACTTGAGAGGCAGAGGCAGGTGGATCTCTGTGAGTTCGAGGCCAGTCTGGTCTACATAGTGAGTTCCAGGACAGCTGGGGCTACAGGGAGACCCTGTCTCAAAAACCAAAAACTAAAACAAAATTATAAAATCTTAGATGCCTACTTCACTACCTAAATATCTAAGCCTAACTTTTAGGTCTTATAAAATAAATCTAAACATTTTCTTTAATGAACTCATCATTTCCACCAATTGCTTAATCCTCTGTTCTCAGGAGATGCTTTGCAGGCTGTGATTCTTTTTTTGTTTGTTTTATTTGTTTGGTTTTTGAGGCAGGTTCTTACATAGCTCAAGCTAACCTCCAATTCACTATGAACGTTGAACTCCTAATGTGCTGGAATTACAAGTGTGTGCCACCATCCCTCAGTAATTTGCGAGTTATTTTTTTAAAGATTTTTTTTCTAATATGTATGAGTATGTATGTATGTTTTGTCTGTATGTATGTATGTATACTACATGCATGCCTAAAGCCAAAGACAGTGAGAAGAGAGCATTAGATCCCCTGGAACTGGAATTACAGATGGTCGTGAGCGGCCACATGGGTGCTGGAAACTAAACCCAGGTCCTCTGCAAGAGCAGCCAGTGCTGTTAACCACTGAACCATCTCTCCAGCTCCTAGTTCATGGTTCTCCCCCTCTTATTTTTTCAGTCTTTTTGAGACAGGTCTCCCTATAGCCACAGCTGGCTTGGACCTTGCTATATAGACCAGACTGGCCTCAATCTCACAAAGATCCACCTGCTTCTGCCTCCTGAGTGCTGGGATTAAAAGCATGCACCATTATGCCCACCCCCCACCCCCAGCTTTTAGTTCATGGTTCTTTAATCAGGCTACTTGTCTACACAGAAATGTATTTGTCTACATTCCAAGTATTTTGCTTCATTCAAGGCTTGAACTATGGCCAAAATACATGAATATATCAATCACAGACTGTACTATGCTATCTCTGATATTGTTCTATAAACTATCATTAACTTTTCTTTCATTTGTGTATTATTATTATTATTATTATTTTGCCTTTTTTGAGACAGGGTCCTCCTTGTAGCCCCAGCTGTCCTAGAACTCACTATGTAGACCAGGCTGGCCTCAAACTCACAAAGATCCGCCTGCCTCTGCCTCCCAAGTGCTGGGATTAAAGGCGTACACCACCTCGCCTAGCCATTTATGTGTAATTTTTTGAAAAAAATAACCTATATCTTCTTAGAGTACTTAGTGTTTTGCAAATAAGCAATTAAAAACAAATTTCTTAAAAGGCGTATTGATGCTACCTGGAGCTGGGCATAGTAGTACATGCCTGTAACCCCAACACTAAGGAGGTAGAGGCAGGAGGACTAAGGAGTTCAAGGTCATCCTCAGCTACACACCTGAGTTGGAAGCCAGTCTGGGCTACATGAGACCCTGTCTGTGGTAGACACAGATTTGCTGAGCTTAGTGTGACAACAGTAAGACAGAACCCAGCTCTAAGGACCCACAGACAAGGCATAAGCCTTCCAAGTATCTCCCAAAGCAAGCAATTCAGACTTCAAAATTCAGTGCCCAGCAACACAAACCCCTCAAAGTCCCAAAACTAAAGGCAAAATCTCACAAAGTCACTTCCAGTTGAGGTGGTTCTAAGCACTACGAATCTTACCTCTTATCTCAGGCCAAATTTTGTTCTTCCATTGGTCAATACAGACAATGATCATCAGGCCAAATGCAAGTAAAAATACAAAACGAAGGGATGTCAGTGCAAAAAACCTACAGAAAAGGAAAAACATGAGGGCCATTCAATAAATAAGCTAATTTCAGAAAAGATCACATGTACACTGCAGACTGTGGTAAGCAGACTTCAGTTCTAGTTTTGGGTTGTTGTTTGGACATTAACTAGCTAATAGACCTTGGGTAAATAATTTCCTATGAAGATAATAATTTGCTTCTGCAAAGGTAAAGAACTAAATCAAATAACCTCTTTAGGGACCCTTTCAACCCTCCAGTCTATTAACTTCAGGGACAAGTTAAGATGAAAGCAAGTATTTACCAAGTTAGATCCTAATATAAGGCAAGAACTGACAGATATACATTACAAAGTATTTAATTCAATTAGGAATCCTATTATAGATCAAAGAACTGAGGCCTCCTCAAAGTAAAATGACTTAAGGTCACATAAAAAGTCAACACTAAGGGACTGTCAAAAAGGTAATTAAGAATCAGCACCAATATTTCTCAAATTCCTTTAAAACAAATTGAAAAGGAAAGCCAGGTGTTGTGATCTATGCCTGCAATCCTTTTTTTTTTTTTTTTTTTTTTTTTTTTTTTTGAGGCAGGGTCTCCCTGTAGCCCCAGCTGGTGGCCTGGAACTTGCTATATAGACCAGACTGGCCTCAATCTCACAGAGATCCACCTGCCTCTGCTTCTGCCTCCTGAATGCTGAGACTAAAGGAGTGTGCTACCACACCCAGCACTTTTGAGAGAGCGTTTCTCACTGAATTCAGAGCTCATCCACTGGGCAGACTGGCTGGCCAGTGAGCTCAAAGAATTTGCCTATCCCTGACCTCCCAGGATTAGAGATATGCTACCATACTCAGCTTTTCCGTGGAAGGTGGAGATCTGAACTCAGGTCCTATGTTTGCATGGCAGGCACTTTACCAACTGAGCTATCTTCTCATCACCAAGTGGGGTTTACTTAAGGGTGGTAGTTAAACACACAGAAATCAATAAATGCAATGTAGTGCATAGGAATGTTGCTCAGTTGGTAATACTTGCCTAACATATGCATGAGAATCCTGTCTGAAAAAACAACAACGGGCTGGAGAGACAGCTCAGTGGTTAAGAGTACTTACTGGCTGCTCTTGCAGAGGACCCTGGTTCAATTCTCAGGACCCACATGGCAGCTAACTGCCTGCAACTCCAGTTCCAGGGGACCTGACACCCGCCTCTCCTCCTCCAAGGGCACTGCATGACACAGGTGCACTTACATACATACAGGCAATACGTTCAATTCATGGAAGTAAATTTTCCACCAGAAACATGGCTAATATCCTATGGAAGCCCATAAGTTTGTTTATGTCAGCAGTCACTAAGCGTGCTGGGAAGGCTCCAACAACTCAGAAGCTGGTCACCCAGGGGAAGAAATGTTCTTTGGACATAGGGCTAATCTTTTATTCACTTCTGCTTAGTAGCAGATGGATTAGGCATCCTGTTGGGGGCAAGTGCCTGAAAACATTTATTTTCACATGATAATGTTAGCTAATAATGTTTTAAAAGTCTATTTTACAGGCAAACATGAAATTAAATGACAACTCAGATCTGCCTCAAAACAAGGAGTAGGAAGTAGGAAAGAAGTAGGGTTCTGAAGACCCAAAATTAGCCATGAATTGAATTTTAAAGCTGGTCACATGGTGAAACATAACAGTATTCTCTCAACTTATACACGGTTTGAGTTATCCCATAATAAAGTTTTGAAAATGATCCATCATTCACATACATACTCTATAATGCAAGGCTTATTCCCTTTACTATGAAAAATTGACATATCAAGAATATTGGGAGGCCAGCAAGATGGCTCAGAGAATAAAGGTACTTTCCACCAAGCCTGACAACCTGAGTGCAATCCCTGGAACCCACACAGTGGAAGGAGAGAACCGATTCCTGCAAGTTGTCCTCTGTCCAGAACACACACACACACACACACACAAAACCAAAAAAAAAGAAAAGGCATTATTTTTTGTATAACTACTTTAACCATAAAATTGTCCCCTTTTTTTTGTCTTTTTGAGGCAGGGTCTCCCTGTAGCTCCAGCTGGCCTGGAACTCTCTATGTAGACCAGGCTGGCCTTGAATTCACAGAGATCTACCTGCCTTTGCCTCCCAAGTGCTGGGACTAAAGGCATGTGCCATTTTAAGTTATCTAATTCAATAGTTTGAAGTATAGTCACAGAGTTCTGCAACTATCACTATTGCCTTATTTTAGAGCTTCTCCTTCCTCCCTCCTCCTCCGTCTCTTTCTTCTTTGGTTTTTTTGAGACAGGATTTCCCTTCAGTCCCAGCTGACCTGGAACTCACTATGTAGACTAGGCTGGCCTCAAACCAACAGAGATCTGCCTGCCTCTGTCTCTCAAGTGCTGTGATTAAAAGCCCATTTTGGAGCATTTTCATCACCCCAAAAGAAATGCATACCCATGAGCAATCACTCCCTATCTCTCCTAGCCCTAAAAAAGGTATTAGCCAATTATCCTAGTACATGCTGCCCAATTATTTTCCAGAGAAACCATCCAGTTTAGGTTTCTACCTCCCAAGTGCTGAGATTAAAGGTGTTTGTCACCACACCCGGCTAAGTTTTTGGTTTCTTTTCTTCTTTTTTTTTTTTTTTTTTGTGGAGGGGAGGAGAGTTTGAGATAGTCTCATGTAGCCCAGGCTGGCCTAGAACTTTCTATGTAACTGAGAATTACCTGAACTTCTGATCCTTCTGTCTCCAACCCCCTCACCAATGCTTGGATTGTAGGCCTGTATTACTACCCTGGCCTTTTTTCCTTTTGTGAACCATTCCTTGACCTATAAGGGGTTAAACTCAAATTAAACTGTCAGTCTAAATAAAATGTATTCCTGGACTAGCAATCTGGGGTCCAAAAAGATCATGAGAAACTCTAGAAATAAACAGCTTTTTGGAGGTTAACTACAGCATAGTAGTAGTACGAATTAAGTTGGAGTTTGTTATAAGTAATAGAAATAGTTTGCCTGGGTTCAACCCACAGTAACACACACACACACACACACACCACACACCATACACACACTCACTCACTCACAAATAATGACTACACATTTTTTTTTCTCAATCAAAGAAGATGCTATTTCTAGGTCCCTTTGTTTTCCCAGACTAAGCTCATCTCAGTGGCACTTCAGAATAAAGCACCCCATCCTACAGGGACAGTAAGCCCATTATTGAACAGCATTTGTGACTGCCTGGTTAATGAGCCAGTCACTGGTAAAATGAAAAGAAAAAAATTAACCCAACCTGTATCCCATAATGAAAGCTGAGCTGTTGCTTGCACAAAACCAGAAAAGAAACCAACCAGCGGCTCATGACCCACCTGCACGCTAACACAGATAAAGCACCAGCTTCACAATTACCATATAAGAACTGAAGGCAGGGCTGCCTTACAGCTCTTGCCTAGCATTCTTAAAGCACTGCAAACAACCAACCAACTCCCCTGCAAGCAGAGAGGCAAAGCTAACAAGGACACCACTGGGAGCCTTCTAGGTCACCAAAAAGAACAAAAAAGTCCTATCAAGGCAACAAAGCTCTCCAAAAGCAGAGGCTAGCTTGGGCTGCATGGACCCTGTTTTTAAGAAAAAAGCAAAGAAAAAGAATATTTGTTAATTGCTTTCATCTAAAGTTTGATTCTTAACGCTGCGTGGGAGGGCTAATCCCAGTCCCCGGGGAGGCAGAGAGAGGCATGGTCCACAGAGTGACTTCCAGGCAGGCAGGCTGGGACCAGGGACACTCTGTCAAAAAAAAAAAGTTTGATTCCTAATCTTTTTTCATAGAATATCTGTCTGTATTGAAATGGGTCCTCCTTGCCATTTAAAAAAAATTAAAATCTTAAAATCAGTGATGTTTCTTTTTCTAAATAAAACATCTCCAGAATTCATTGGCTGGAAGGGAAGGAAGGAGGGATGAAGGGAGGGAGAAGCCTCTCTTCCATTTCCTATTCCTCACTACTGTTTTTCATTCCGATCCTAACTCTGTAAATCAGAATTGCTGTAAACCCTTAATCACAGCTCATCACTTTTAATTTTTTTGGGGGTAGGGGGCATCTATCTTTTCATTGCTGAAAACAACAGATTCTATGAGACCCACCCCCAAGAGTACTGCATATTTAACATGTGTAAGCCTAGGTGACTGTAAAAGCAGATCCCAGAAGAGAGCTCAACAGGGACTCAGCTGCGTATTATGCTCAATCAACATCCCCAAAGACCACCTAGAATCACAGTGAGCATTACAGGAAGGGAGCTCAGCCTGTCACACAGCCCTCCTTGAACCATGTGCTCTTTGTTGAGGGGGAAGGACAGAGAAGCCTGCAGTGTCCACTCATTTTCAGGCCTCATTTTCTCTCACCTTCTCTTACCACCTGAGTCAAACCAAAGTTGCTGGAACCTGTTCTTTTCTGATCCTTGGGATAATAGTCTTGCTGACTCTCAAATTCTCCCTGCATGCACATCACTCAAGCACAGACAGGGCTCAGGCTAATGAAAGCAGAAGGTTTGGAAGGGAAGGCCTGCCATTGCTGTTATTACCCTAAAGATGGCAGACTGCTAACCTGAAGTTTATCTCGGAAGATTTCTTTTCTTTCCTTTTTTTTTTTTTTTTTTTTTTTTTTTTTTTTTTATTTCCCTGTAGCTCCAGCTAGCCTGGAACTCATAGAGATCCACCTGCCTCACCTCCGAAGTGCTGGGACTGCCTTTAATCCCAGCACTCTTAGGAGGCAGAGGCAGGCAGAGCCTCTGTGAGGAAGCCAGCCTGGTCTACAGAGCGAGTTCCAGGCAGCTGGAGCTACAGGGAGACCCTGTCTCAAAAAAGACATGCGCCACCACACCTGGCTCAAATCTAGGACGATTTCTAATAGGGCCATTGTAATTTCTTTGGAAGTTGAGGGAAAAAAGGAAAATAAAAGTCAATGCCTTGAAATATACTATGGTGGTGTGCAATCTACAGGGATCTTTTTGTGTGCCATCTTTTTTTTGAGACAGGGTCTCCCTGTAGCCCCAGCTGGCCTGGAACTCACTTTGTAGACCAGGCCTGCCTCTGCCTCCTAAATGCTGGGATTAAAGGCATGCACTACGATGCCTGGCAATGGATATCTTTTGTTAACCTTTTTAAGAGGGCATATTCACAGACACAGAAAACTGTGAATACAGAACACTGAAAGTGAAGAGCTATCTCCCTGAATTTGGATGACTTTTTAATTTAATTTTAAATTATTTGAGACAGGGTCTCATTATGTAGTCCCAGCTGGCCTGGAACTCACTATTAGACCAGGTTGACCACAAATTCAAAGATCTGCCTGCCTCTGCCTCTCCAGTGCTGGTATCAAAGGTATGTGCCACCACATCCAGCTGGATAATTTTTTTAAAAAAAAAGCTTTTTAACATTTATTTTTGTATGCATGTGTATGTGCACACCACACATGGGTCAAGGTCAGAAGACAACTTTTGGGAATCAGTTATTGCCTCAGATTTGGGAGATTCAACTCAGGTCGTCAAGCTTGGCAGCAAGCACCTTTACCCACTGAGCCATCTCACCAGTCCTCAGATGACTTTCTGTACTACTATCAAATCTTCTGAGACTTCAAAATGCATAAAAGAGCTCACTTAATGATGTCATTATTCCTAATAAATAATGAAAAAAAAGTTAAGTGGGTCAGATTTTTCTGACCAAAGCTAATGATCCTCATTCTTTTAACATTTAAAATCTAAAGTCATTTTTCCATATTCCTAAGAGAAATGTCAATACTCACATACACTACTGATAAGTAAAACTAACTTCCAAGGAAGCTCATCCCTCCCCCCCGACCCCCATACACAATTCTCTAAACACCAATGTCAGACTACTTTAGTCGCTAGGATCTTACTGCTTGAACCTTTAAAGGTATGAGTCCCTTCAATGAATGACATGCCCAACTGCTCTTTTAGTCTTACTTCACATCCTCATTTTACTGTATCTCTTCCCCAGCTTCTTGAAGAAAGATGGTAAAGTAACAACTATGCTGTGGATACACTGCAGGCAAACTACCAGGAAAAGCCAGTGATAAAGACCAAGCACAATGCTTTAAGAGATCCAGAGCACAAAAGTGATCCTGAGAGCCTAAACACAGACTTAGTAAGCTTAAGTAAACAAGGTTGGGGTCCAGGCCCAGCAAGATAGCGATGTCCTAACCTCAACATTCAGGAGGTGGAAACAGAAAATCAGAAGTTCAAGGCCAGCTACATAGTGTATACCAGGTCACATTTTAAAAACGTGTCCAAGCTGGGTGTGGTGGCGCACGCCTTTAATCCCAGCACTTGGGAGGCAGATGCAGGCAGATCTCTGTGAGTTCGAGACCAGCCTGGTCTACAGAGCGAGTTCCAGGCAGCTGGAGCTCCAGGGAGACCCTGTCTCAAAAAGACCAAAAAAATTTTTTTTTATTTTATTATTTTTATTTTATGTGTAAGAGGTCTGTGAGTTTGAGCCAGCCTGGTCTATACAGCAAGTTCCAGGCCAGCCAGGGCTATATAGTGAGACCCTGTCTCAAAATGAGAACAAAAACAAAAAAATATGTTTCAGTCAGAACAGTTCGTGTACATCTCAACCCCACATTCTACAAACTAGTTTAATGAGCACCAATTTCTTTTTCCTAAGGATACCTCTGTGGGAAATGTTTTTTTTTTTTCAATATTTTATTTTTTTTTGTGTATGAGTGTATTGCCTGCCTGTAGGTAAGTGCACCTGTGTCCTACAATGCCAGCGAGGACAGAAAAGGCCATAGGATCCCCTGGAACTGGAGTACAGACAGTTGTTAGCTACCTTGTGGGTGCTGGGATTCGAACCTGGGTCTTCTGCAAGAACCGTGTTCTTAACCGCTGAGCCATCACCAGCCCCCGGAAATGGTTTTGATTGGACAAACACTCCCAAACAATGGGAAGGAAGTTGGTACCTGAAAGTCCTGGAAGAAACCTTACCAAAACACTGGACAAATTACTGGTAGCAGCTTCACTGGTAGAGTACTTGCCTAGCATGTGAAAGTCCCTGGGGCTGTTCTCCAGCAGCATACAACACACATACAAAAAAACCTCTTTTTGTTGTTGCAGGCTGATCCAAGACAGTTCTCTCAATCAGCAGTCTACAGTAATGTTAGTTGGAATTGGAATTTGATGGGTAGTAGTCCTCTCGTTACTAATAAACCCAAACTATGCTTGGTAGATTCTATGAAGCCTTGAGTCCTCTTAGGTGATGGCAATTCAAGAGAATGAAAGATACTTAAACAGTGCCACTCAGACTCACGATAACTCACACACTCAGTCACCCTCCAATTCCTTGTTTTGAAACCAAAGTTAAGGATGCTTTAATTCCTTGGGAGAAGAATTGCAATCCTAACTGAAACTGAAATCTCATCACTATTTCATAACTTTTTTTTTTTTTTAAAGACTTCATCTTTTCCCTCAAGCTGCAGCTCCGGATCATTCTGACTTCAACTTGACTGGGTGAGAGTAGCATGCTAATTCACGATAACCGCTCCAGCTTGTTTTACTCATCACACCCAGGGATACCGTCTCAAGACCTTACGCCTCTCCTCCCACAGCAACTACTAAAATCTCTGGAAACAGTCTTCAAACCACACTTGAACAGACACGAGAAAAGGAGTGCATGGTCTCAAATGCAATAGCCTGCCCTAGCTCACCGCGAGCGACTCAGGATGTTACCAGAAGCTCCTGCAGAATGGACGGGGCGCGGCTACCGTCGCAGGGAAAGCAGGGAAGACTGGGGCAAGGCCCCGGGAGGAGCTGGGGTACCCAGGCTTGGAGGTGGAATGGAGTGAAAGTAAGAGAGACAGAATCAGGCAGGTGCCAGAAGGAGCCAGTGCAGCGGAGTGAACAGGGCAGGCGAGAGGTAGATCCCTAGAGGGACCTGGCGGGTTCGCGCCGCGGAGGGCTTCCGAGGGTCCTGTTCTCACCAGAACGCCGCGTTCAGCCCCAAGCACCACAGGGCGCTCCGGGCTGGCCGCTCCCACACCAGGGCCGCCTGCAGCCAGCTCAGCAGAGGCTCGTACGGCCCCAGCACCTCCACCAGGGCCCGCTGCACCGCCTCCACCTGCTGCTCGCGCTCCCAGGAGCCGGACATAGCTCGGCGGCCCCTAAAAGCCAACCCCGAAGCTGGACCCGGGGCCGCGGCCACCCCTCCGGCCTCCTCCATCTCCCCAGCGCCCGCAGCCACAACATCCGGGGCCGCGGCCCAACAGTCACAATAACAGCAACTGCGCAGATGCGCGGTTTGGCCGCGGCGGGGGCCAGGCCGCACAGTGCGCATGCGCTCAGCCTCCAGCCGGCGTTCCCTGGAGGGAGGCGCAGAACGCTGGGTCAAAATACATCATATGTCCCCGCGCCCAATCACCGAGAGCGATACGGAATAGCACATGCGCAGTCTACACAACTGAAGCCAAATGAATGCGGAAATGCCATCTGCAGAGCTTAGTGTTCATTGGAGCGCTGGGAATTCAGGGGCGGAGCGGGTTGTTGGCGCCTGCGTCTCGGCGAGCGGCGGCGTTGCTGGCGGGAGCGGCTGCAACGCCGGTGCCTGAGGAGCGATGCCGAGAGAAATCATCACCCTACAGTTGGGCCAGTGCGGCAATCAGAGTGAGCCAACCTCAGGCCCCTAGCCTAGCCAGGTTCTTTAGAGCCAATGGGATCGCGTGTGGAGGCCTAGATTCAATCTGTCCTTCCCAGAATCGTGATTCCCCGAAAGGCGGGACGTCCCGGACCCTGAATCCAGCTAGCTAGCGGCTCTAAGGGGCCTTCCTCTGCCTGCCCAGTGGCTGGCGTGCAGACACTGAGGACTCCTTATCCCCGGATCCAGGCGTTCTCCCCTCCCCCAAGCCCCCGCCTCCAGCTGCTAGTTGGATCCTACCCAGACCAACATATCCTCTTTCTCCGCTCGCTATCTCACACAGTTGGGTTCGAGTTCTGGAAACAACTGTGCGCCGAGCATGGCATCAGCCCCGAGGGCATCGTAGAGGAGTTCGCCACCGAGGGCACTGACCGCAAGGACGTCTTTTTCTACCAGGTGCCCCCAGTGACTTGTCCAGGGCTGGCTGTGACCCAGGAGACGTGAAGGGAAGGGTAGCGGGCTGGTACTGAGAAACCCACCCAACAGATGGAACTAGGGTGGCAGGGTTGAGGAGGGAGGGCCTGTAGGAGCCCGAATTGTAAGGATTAAGGCTTGACCCATCCTAGCTCACTGGACCCATTCCTGACTTTCCTTTGACAGGCAGATGATGAACATTACATCCCCCGGGCTGTGCTGCTGGACCTAGAGCCCAGGGTGATCCACTCCATCCTCAACTCGTCCTATGCCAAGCTCTACAATCCAGAGAACATCTACCTGTCTGAGCATGGAGGAGGAGCTGGCAACAATTGGGCCAGCGGATTCTCCCAGGTCATTTGCTGTTCACCCTAAAAGGCTCACAACTCCCTCGGTGGGCACTAGAGAGAGATGAAATTGGTTCAGAGATGTATGGTTCCTGAAGCAAGAGAGAACTGAGAGTTAACTGTAGAATGTTAAGAACCCACCAGAGGTGTGTGCCAGGCAGTCTAAGTACTTTATATGTTAATGTTTTAAATGTCTCAATAACCCTAGAGGTAGGTACTACAGGCCCACAGTCTTTTATCTGCGTTTTCGAATCCAGAAAGCTCTGAAGCCTAAAAGTATTTCATAATTTGCTTAGAAAAACCAAAACCCAGCCGAGACAGGCTGTTTTATTGTTTGTATTCAGCTTATTGTCATTACTCATACTTTTTATTGCAGAAATATTAATGTTTGATCCATGCACCTCAGACCCCTGTGGTTGTGTTTGTTTGGTGATTTGGTTTGGTGGTCCTAGGGAGTGAACCCAAGGAGTTACACAACACATGCCAGAAAAGAACACTGCTACTGAGCTACACCTCAGCCTCACCTTAGGGTTTTTTGTTTTTTTTTTTTTAATATGCATTATATACACCAAGCTACGTTTCAAAAATCTGCAATATTTTGAGTTCCAAAAAAACTGGCCCACAAGAATTTTAGATGAGGGGCTGTGGACCTGTATTATTACCTTCATTTTACAAATGAGGAAACTGAGGCGTAGAAAAATAAATCTGCCCAGAGTTGCATAACTGTATAAAACTAAACTACAGTAGTAGAGCACAGGCAGGCAGCTCAGTTGATGGAGTGCTTGTCTGGTATGCATAAAGCTCCACTTCAGTCCATTACATAAAAGTGGATGTGGTTGCATGTACCTGTAGTCCCAGAAGTCTGGAAGCAGAGACAGGAGGATCTGGACTTTGAGGTCATCCTCAGCTTGTATATTGAGTCTGAGGCCAGTCTCACTTACATGAACATGGACAGGTTATCTGGGCTGGTATATAAAGATTGGATATAAAGTGTTCCTTGTAATCACTGCTGTACTGCCTCTCTGTCCAAACCAAGGCAGCCATGATCAATACAAAGACTTCTAGAGTTAAGGGTGGCTACTCTGAAGTCAGATCTTGTCCATGGTTCTGTCCCATCTAACCCTTCTCCATGTTTGTTCAGGGAGAAAAGATCCACGAGGATATTTTTGACATCATAGATCGGGAGGCAGATGGCAGTGACAGCCTAGAGGTGAGTGTCCCAGGATTGTTGGTGGGGACATTTGTTGAACATAGAGAAGACTGGCAATACCCTTTAGAAGCCACCTGTTAGGAGCTGCAAGATGGCTCAGTTGGTAAAAGTGCTTGCCAGCAAGCCTGATAACCTGAATTTGATCACAAAATCCATGATGGAAGGAGAGAACTGATTCCCAAAAGTTGTCCTCCGACCTCCATACATGCACTATGGCACATGCACACACCAATACTCAATGCATACACCATACATACACATGATACTAATAAATGAAAATAATTTAAAGCTACCTGTTAGGCACAAGACCCACTCATTTATCCTTTGCACTGGATGGACTGGGCCTTAACTGAAGACAGAGCATAGTTTCCTAAGCTGTATGTAGGAAGGGCTTGGCGAAGACAAGAATCCAAGAAATTATGGAACAGAGATCTAGTTTGAAATTTTCCCACTAGACATCTGAACACTGATGTCCCTTTCCTATGCAGGGCTTTGTGCTGTGTCACTCGATTGCTGGGGGGACAGGCTCTGGCCTAGGCTCCTACCTCTTAGAACGGCTGAATGACAGGTAAACCTGTGTTTGGGGGGCTAGTTAGAGTAGGACCCTCATCTTCATTTCCTTAGGGACTCAGAGGCCCAACAGACATACCTCCCTATTTGCTAGAGCTGAAAAGAGCCCTTCCTAAAATGGAGAAACTTGGCCGGGCGTGGTGGCACACGCCTTTAATCCCAGAGGCAGGTGGATCTCTGTGAGTTCAAGGCCAGCCTGGTCTACATAGTGAGTTCCAGGCCAGCTAAGGCTACAGAGAGACCCTGTCTCAAAAAGACAGAAAAAAAAAGGAGAAACTTGATACTACCCCCAGAGGTCAGAGGCAGAACCTAGAATCTAGGCCCTGCTTTGAAAGTCCAGGGAATATGTTCAGGTTTGGAGTTGAAACCTAAAATTCTACATTATCTCTTCCCTTCCCCCTTGAGGGTTACAACCTTTCAAAAGTCAAGTCTTTTCTACTGGTTTTATGACCCCACCTGAATTTCCTGATTCATGGGTAACTGCGTCTAGATTTGTTGAGAAGATAGGTGTTCACCAAGTCTCTAATCTGTAGCCCTCTTCTCCCAACTCCCCAGATACCCCAAGAAATTAGTGCAGACGTACTCAGTGTTTCCCAACCAGGATGAGATGAGTGATGTGGTGGTCCAGCCCTACAACTCGCTCCTCACACTAAAGAGGCTGACCCAGAATGCTGACTGTGTGGTGAGTCTTTGATTCTCCCTGTCCCTACTCCTATTGTCTGTTTAATCATTTTCATATAGAACCATCCTGTGCCCTAAGCTTTGGAAAGTCCCTTTTGGATGGGTCTTTCTGTCCATTAGTCTCAAGGCTAGACGCAGGCAGACCTCCTGATATTCTTGTCTCCATAAGTCTGTAGCCCTTTTCTATCCCCCCAGGTGGTGCTGGACAACACGGCCCTGAACCTGATTGCCACAGACCGACTGCATATCCAGAACCCATCCTTCTCCCAGATCAACCAGTTGGTGAGCCTCCTCCTGGAATGGAAACCCTCTAGAGGGTCCTTATGAGAGGGAGGTCCCACCCATGTCAAGGCTCATAACATGGTATCCCCTGTTCTCAGGTATCCACCATCATGTCAGCCAGCACCACCACCCTGCGCTACCCCGGCTACATGAACAACGACCTGATTGGCCTCATCGCCTCGCTCATTCCCACACCACGACTCCACTTCCTCATGACTGGCTATACCCCCCTTACCACGGACCAGTCAGTAAGGGCTCCTGCAGCGAGGCGTCCCAGGACAAGTGACCCTGACTGTGCCTTTTTCTCCCTGCTGCCCCTGGAGTTGCCCTTTGCAGCCCTCCCCACCCTACCCCACCACCACTTTAACCACTGTGCTGTATATCCTCTCAGTCTCTCAGTGCAGAGACTGGGACAGAGCCTGCCACTTACCCTCTAGTCTCTCCCATCTTTTCTCTGGCTTTTCTGTGGCTCCGTTGGTCCAGGAGTTGGGCGGGACCAGTAATGCTGCTGCACAAGGGCATGAGTTTCTTGAAGAGAAGGGCTAAGATCCTAATCCTGGACCTAGGGATATTGCTGTTGGTAGAGTGCTTGCTTAGCATGCATGAAGCCCTGGGTTTGATTCCTAACACTGTAAACTGGGCATGGTGGCACACACTTCCAGTCCCAGCACCTCTCTAGGTGGAAACAGGAGGATCAGAAGTTCAAGGTTGTGGCTAGAGAGATGGCTCAGCAGTTAAAAGAACTGGCTGCTAGGCAGAGGCAGGCGGATCTCTGTGAGTTCAAGGCCAGCCTGGTCTACATAGTGAGTTCCAGGACAGCTGGGGCTACAGGGAGACCCTGTCTCAAAAAGACCAAAAAAAAAAAAAAAAAAAAAAGTACTGGCTGCTCTTGTAGAGGACCCAGCTTCTGTTCTCAATGGTGGTTAACAACCATCTATAACTCCAGTTTCAGGGGATCCAACTCCCTCTTCTGGATTCTACAGGCATTGTATAACACAGGCGTGCTTACATGCAGGAAAAACACTCATACATGACCAAAAATGGTAGCACAGGCCTTTAAACCCGGCAGAGGCAGTTGGATCT